CACTGCCCTCCCGGGCCACAGCAGAGAGCTGGACTGGAAGAGGGGCAGCCGCGACAGAATCCGGCATTCATATGGGATGCCGGTGCCACAGGCAGAGGATTAACCAAGTGAGCCACGGTGCCCGCCCCCAACTATTTTTTTTTTTTTTGACAGGCAGAGTGGACAGTGAGAGAGAGAGAGAGACAGAAAGAAAGGTCTTCCTTTTGCCGTTGGTTCACCCTCCAATGGCTGCTGCGGCCGGCGCGCTGCGGCCGGCGCACCGTGCTGATCCGATGGCAGGAGCCAGGAGCCAGGTGCTTTTCCTGGTTTCCCATGGGGTGCAGGGCCCAAGCACCTGGGCCATCCTCCACTGCACTCCCGGGCCACAGCAGAGGGCTGGCCTGGAAGAGGGGCAACCGGGACAGAATCCGGCGCCCTGACCGGGACTAGAACCCGGTGTGCCGGCGCTGCTAGGCGGAGGATTAGCTTAGTGAGCCGCGGCGCCGGCCTATTTTTTTTAAGGTTTATTTATTTTAAAGGCACAACAGAAACACGAGGAAAGAGGAAGAAGGAAACTTCATCTGCAGATAGAGTGTCCACAAGTGGATGGGGGTGGGCAAAGCCAAAGCCAGGAGCCAGGAAGTCCTCCTGGTCTCACACGGAGTGGAGCCGCAGGGTTCGAGGTGGGTGCTGCCCCGCTTCCAATGCAGCCCCTGGCTGACGCTCCTGGGAAGGCAGCGGAAGACGGCCCACGTCCCTGGGTCCCTGCACCCACGTGGGAGATCCCGAGGGATTCCTCAGGACATGGACCCTCCGGAGTGGGCAGGTCCACTGACCATCAGGCGCCCAGGGGACTGGCTGGGCATGGTCTCCTTCCCACTGGTCCCAGCGCCTGGCTCGGCCCTGGCCATCTAGGAGATCATAGCCGCCTGTGCTTACCGGAGAGGGAACAGGCACACGGAGCACCGGCACCCATCCACGTGCAATGGCGGGAGTGAGCCGGGAAGGCCTGGGTCAGGGGCTCCTCTGGGCAAACACCAAGCCCACCGTGTAGCACTCCCGGCGTGGCTGTGCCTGTGCCTGTGAGCTGGCCCTTGGAATGAGTGGGCAACTGGCCAGAGCAGCTGGCAGGAGGGGTGAGGGGAGGCCGGCAGGTGGGGGGCCCCACTGGGCCAGTGAGCACGCGGGCCCTGCTGTCTCTGTCAAGCAAGGCTGCCCGGACCCCCAGCAAGGGGCAACGAGGCCCTGGAGCCCACGGGGGCAGCAGGAGCCCGAGGCTTCCTGCCGCTGCTTTTTAGAGACTGATTGATTTGGAAGGCAGAATGACAGAGAGAGAGCGAGCTTCCATCTGCTGGTTCACTCCCCAAATGGCCGCAACGGCCAGGTCTGGGCCGCACTGAAGCCAGGAGCCGGGAGCTCCAGCTGGTCTCCATGGGGTGAGGGCTCAAGCTCACGGGCCACAGCCGGGGGCTGGACGGGGGCAGAGCTTCCGAGGCCCTGGACTCTCCGCTCGCCCCCGAGAGTACCGCCTCCAGCCTCCTGCCCACCCGTCTTCAGCTGGCCGCCTGCCTGGGCCCCGTGGGGCCGGGGGCAGGCAAGGGACAGGGCACCAGAGAAGACGCTCCCCTTCCCGGCCCCCGAGACGCCGTCCAGCCGGCCCCGTGCTGTCCAGCCACCTCGCAGGATGACCGTTCGTCGAGCTGTATGGAGTCTGACTCCAGGTGAGAAGCGGCTCCCTCGGGAGCACGGTTAACTCTGTAAGACCCGGTGGGCAGCGCCACCCCGGAGCGGCCGACGCCCCCGGGGCCATGTTCCCACCCGGCCTTCTAACAGCCAGCAAAGCGTGGTAGCGACAGCCGAGCGGGCGGGCGGCGGCGGGAGAGAGGATCGCAGGAGAGCGGGAGACCGCCCCCCGGGCTCTCAGACCCGAGCTCTCAGACACGCAGCCCTGCTCCCCGAATCCCAACCTTCTCCGGGGAGCCACCTGTGCCCCCGCACGCAGATGCCCGCCCCGCCTCCTGGGACAGGCGCTGTCCCCACGCGTGCAGCCTTGGGGCACCCAGGTCTCCCAGGCTGAGAGGGCACCGTCCCTGCCACGCCTTCCCCCAGCGCCCGGGCAGTTTGGGCCCACTCATCTGGAGGGAAGTGGCCGCCGCCCCCCTCGGCCGGGCACAGCGCAGCCTCCAGGCCTCGGGAACGCTGCCTCCCCCCAGGCCGTCCTGCTCTGGGGACCAGCGTGGTGGGACACCTGGTGGCATCTCACCGTGGGCCTGGACATGGCAGGTGGACACCAGCTGCCAGCTGCCTCCAGTCACGCAGGGGTCCTGGGGCCGGCCCTGGCCGGAGCTGGGCACAGGGCCTGCTCTCCTGCCCACATGGCAGCCAGTGTGGGGTCACAGGGCTGGCGACGGTGGTGTGGCGCTGCTTGGCCATCACCCCCTACCAAGCAGGTCCTGAGGGTGCCAGGACCCCTGCTCACGCTGCCACTACCCATCCCCGCATGGGGTGCAGCCACCCAGGCTCATGTGGCACCGGGGGTGTGCGGGCTGGCCCCGTGGTGAGGGACCCGGGGGTGTGCGGGCTGGCCCCGTGGTGAGGGACCCGGGCGTGTGCGGGCTGGCCCCGTGGTGAGGGACCCGGGGGTGTGCAGGCTGGCCCCGTGGTGAGGGACCCGAGGGTGCGGGCTGGCTCCGTCCTGAGGGACCCGGGGCGTGTGCGGGGCGACCCCGTCCTGAGGGACCCGGGACGTGTGCGGGCTGGCCCCGTGGTGAGGGACCCGGGCGTGTGCGGGCTGGCTCCGTCCTGAGGGACCCGGGGGTGTGCGGGCTGGCCCGGTGGTGAGGGACCCGGGGGTGCGGGCTGGCCCCGTGGTGAGGGACCCGGGGGTGCGGGCTGGCTCCGTCCTGAGGGACCCGGGGCGTGTGCGGGCTGCCCCGTGGTGAGGGACCCGGGGGTGTGCGGGCTGCCCCGTGGTGAGGGACCCGGGGGTGTGCGGGCTGGCCCCGTGGTGAGGGACCCGGGGGTGCGGGCTGGCTCCGTCCTGAGGGACCCGGGGGTGTGCGGGCTGGCCCCGTGGTGAGGGACCCGGGCGTGTGCGGGGCGACCCCGTCCTGAGGGACCCGGGACGTGTGCGGACTGCCCCGTGGTGAGGGACCCGGGGCGTGTGCGGGCTGGCCCCGTGGTGAGGGACCCGGGCGTGTGCGGGCTGGCCCCGTGGTGAGGGACCCGGGGGTGTGCGGGCTGGCCCCGTGGTGAGGGACCCGGGGGTGCGGGCTGGCCCCGTGGTGAGGGACCCGGGGGTGTGCGGGCTGGCCCCGTGGTGAGGGACCCGGGGGTGTGCGGGCTGGCCCCGTGGTGAGGGACCCGGGGGTGCGGGCTGGCTCCGTCCTGAGGGACCCGGGACGTGTGCGGGGCGACCCCGTCCTGAGGGACCCGGGGGTGTGCGGGCTGGCCCCGTGGTGAGGGACCCGGGGGTGCGGGCTGGCTCCGTCCTGAGGGACCCGGGACGTGTGCGGGGCGACCCCGTCCTGAGGGACCCGGGACGTGTGCGGGCTGCCCCGTGGTGAGGGACCCGGGGGTGTGCGGGCTGGCCCCGTGGTGAGGGACCCGGGGGTGCGGGCTGGCTCCGTCCTGAGGGACCCGGGACGTGTGCGGGGCGACCCCGTCCTGAGGGACCCGGGACGTGTGCGGGGCGACCCCGTCCTGAGGGACCCGGGGCGTGTGCGGGGCGGTCCCGTTGGGCATGGGAGGCGGCGTGCACCCGCCCAGATCGGCTCCTCGGCGAGGCTGCGGTTGTTGCGGGGCCCTGTGGGTTTTGTTGAGGCCCGGGGGCGGCGGCAGCGGCGGGACGGGCGTCTTCCCAGCCGCGCAGGAAGCGGCCTCGGCCGGAAGGGGGGCCCCGGGCGCCACCGCCTCCGCCTCCGCCAGCGGCCTTCGGGTGGGCGGGGCCGAGGGGAGCCGAGCGGCGGCCGAGCGGGGCCGAGCGGGGCCGAGCGGGGCCGAGCGGGGGCCGAGCGGAGCCGAGCTCCCGACGGGCCGACACGAGCGGAGCCGACTCCTCTGCGGGTGGTCCCGAGCGGCGGCCGAGCGCGGCCGAGCGCGGCCGAGCGGGGCCGAGCGGAGCCGAGCCCAGCCCAGCCCGGGCGGGGGAGAGCGCGTTCCTGGAAGAGCGCGGCTGCTGCGCGGGTCACATTCTTGGCCGGCGCTCGGGCTGAGGCGGACGCACGGCAACAAACAGCGCGGGGGGCGGGCCGGCGGCGCGGGGCGGGGCGGCGCGGGGCGGGGCGGCGCGGCGGCGGCGTGAGCTCAGCGCCGGGCGCTCAGTCCGAGCCGGAGCGAGCCGCCGGGAGGATGTGCGCCGAGCGCCCCGAGCCCCGCGCCGCCTCGGCCGCCGCCGCCGCCTCGGCCGCCGCGCTCTGAGGGCCGCGGGCAGAGGCGCCTCCGCCGCCCGGAAGCCGCGGGCGGGGGCGGCGGGCGGGCGGGCGGGCCGGGGGCCGGCGGCGGGCGAGACGCGGCCGGCCAGCGCCGCCGGGACGAGCCGGGCGGGCGCCGCGCGGTGGGAGGAGCGGGGCGGCGGCGGCGCGCCGCGCGAGGACGGCCCGGCGGGCCCCGCGCCCGCGCCCCCGCTCCTCCCGGGGCCCTCGGCCTCGGCCGCCGCGGCGATTCGCGCCTCGCGGCGCCGGCACCTGCCCGCGCGCCCCCCGCGAGCCCCGGGCCCGCGAGCGTTGGCGTTGGCGTTGGCGGCGCGCGCCGGGGCATGCCCCGCGCCTAGAGCCCGGGGGGCGCGCGGGGGGCGCGCGGGGGGCCCGGGCGGCGGCGGCGGCGGGCGCGGCGCGGGGCGCGTGGATGTGGCGCCGGGCCCGGGCGGCGGCGGCGGCGGGCTCCAGCGGCGGGACCCCTTCGCCCCGCCCGCCTTCCCCTTCGCGCCCCCGGGCGAGGCCGAGGCCGCGGCCGTGATCGGCCGGGAGCCGGCTGCGGGGGGCGGCCGGGGCCGGGGCCGCGGGCGCCGCCGGGGCGCGCGGGGCGGCGGCGGCGGCGGGGGGCGAGGGGGCCCGGGCGCGCGGGAGCGGGAGCGGCCCGGGGAGCCCGGGCGCGCCATGGAGGCGGCGGCGGGCGGCCGCGGCGGCTTCCAGCCGCACCCGGGGCTGCAGAAGACGCTGGAGCAGTTCCACCTGAGCTCCATGAGCTCCCTGGGCGGCCCGGCCGCCTTCTCGGCGCGCTGGGCGCAGGAGGCCTACAAGAAGGAGAGCGCCAAGGAGGCGGGCGCGGCCGCGGTGCCGGCGCCGGTGCCCGCGGCCGCCGAGCCGCCGCCCGTGCTGCACCTGCCCGCCATCCAGCCGCCGCCGCCCGTGCTGCCCGGGCCCTTCTTCATGCCGTCCGACCGCTCCACCGAGCGCTGCGAGACCGTGCTGGAGGGCGAGACCATCTCGTGCTTCGTGGTGGGCGGCGAGAAGCGCCTGTGCCTGCCGCAGATCCTCAACTCGGTGCTGCGCGACTTCTCGCTGCAGCAGATCAACTCGGTGTGCGACGAGCTGCACATCTACTGCTCGCGCTGCACGGCCGACCAGCTGGAGATCCTCAAAGTCATGGGCGTCCTGCCGTTCTCCGCGCCCTCGTGCGGGCTCATCACCAAGACGGACGCCGAGCGGCTGTGCAACGCGCTGCTCTACGGGGGCGCCTGCCCGCCGCCCTGCAGGAAGGAGCTGGCGGCCAGCCTGGCGCTGGGCCTGGAGCTGAGCGAGCGCAGCGTGCGCGTGTACCACGAGTGCTTCGGCAAGTGCAAGGGGCTGCTGGTGCCCGAGCTGTACAGCAGCCCCAGCGCCGCCTGCATCCAGTGCCTGGACTGCCGCCTCATGTACCCGCCGCACAAGTTCGTGGTGCACTCGCACAAGGCCCTGGAGAACCGGACCTGCCACTGGGGCTTCGACTCGGCCAACTGGCGGGCCTACATCCTGCTGAGCCAGGACTACACGGGCAAGGAGGAGCAGGCGCGGCTCGGCCGCTGCCTGGACGACGTGAAGGAGAAGTTCGACTACGGCAACAAGTACAAGCGGCGGGTGCCCCGGGTGAGTGTCCCCGCGCCCGCCGCGGCCGGGGTGGGGGGCGTTGTGCAGGGCGGCTGAGGGCCGAGCGAGCGCACGGCCGGGGAGGGAGGCCCTCCTTCCCGGCCCCCCTCCCCCGGGGTGAGCCCTGGCGGCGGCCAGCCGGGGGCCGGGCCTGGGGGGCTGGGAGAGCCGGCCGAGGCACGCAGCTGTTGCATGCAGAGGCGGGCGCGGCGCGGGGAAGGAGGCCTGCCCCAGCTGGGGGAGGTCGGATCTGGCAGAGCCAGGCCAGGAGCCCCAGACCCGGGTCCTCCGTGGGGCCTGCTCGGGCTCCAGGCCCAGGGCTGCCCGCCCTTGGTCCCCAGCCGGCGGCCTGGTGCTGGTTCCAGCTCCTTGTTTTGTGCTTTGAAGTCTTGGGACACAAACGCGAGAACGGAGCCAGGTGTCCAGGCTGCGGTGGCCCGCGGCCGAGACTTGGCGTCTCCTGGGCCTGCCGGGGAGTGAGTCCCAGAGCCCCGTGGAGGGCCAGGGCCAGGGCTTGGTTTCCTGCTTTCCCTCCCTGCCAGGCGCAGGCCGGCGTGGGGGCTCTGGCCTGGCGCCCCGGCCGCGCGCGGGAACTGCTCACTGGGTCCTCGGGGACTTTGGGCTGTACCCTCCCCACCCCTCCCCCACGCCCGCCTGGGCAACTTTTCTGCTGGACGCCGGCTTATTAAGGCGCACACGCGGACTGCTGCGTGGGCTCAGCCATTCTTGGGAGGCCTAATTAACGCAGCCGCCGCATCAGACTTCTTTTCTGAGCCCGTGAATAGATGCTGCGGCCGGTCCTCTCTGGGCGCCCCTCCAGCCAGTGTCAGCCGCCGGGAGGAGGGGCGGGGGCGGGGGCCGGCGCCCGGGGAGGCCAGGCCCCGCGGTGTGCAGAGGGGGGGCTGTGGCGGCTGTGACGGGCGCCCCTCGCCTGCCGGCGGCCGTTGTGTTTGGGGTGCCCACCCCCACTAGCTCGTGTGGCCCGAGGAAGCCACGTGTGCGGGGCGCGGGGAGCGCGCACGTCACGGGGCTGCGGAGCGGGGAGGAGGGTCTGGGCTGAGCAGGGCGTGTCTGTGTGCGTGTGTGTGCATGTGTGTACGTGTGCGCGCGTGTCTGTCTCGTGTGTCTGTGCATGCGTGTCTCCGTGTCTGCATGCATGTACGTGTATGTGTGCGCATGGGTCTTGTGTTTGTGTCTGCGTGTGTGGGTACATGTGTGTCTTGGTGTGCACGCGTGTGTCTTGGTGTGTCGTGTGTGCATGCATGTGGGTGTGCGCCTGTCTTGTGTCTGCATGTGTGTACATGTGTGTCTTGGTGTGTACGCGTGTGTCTTGGTGTGTGTCGTGTGTGCATGTGTGTGTGTGTGTCAGCTCTGGGTCATGTGTGGCTGTGGTCTTCCTGTCTCCCTGGCCTTCCCTGAGGGCCCGGCAGCTGGCCTGCAGGGCCCAGGTCACCTGCTTCTCCCTCCCGCAGCCCCCTGCGGTGAGCCCTGTGGCATCGCCAGAACCCAGGTGCTGCCTGGGAGGAGACAGGACGGTGGCCTGGCCTGTGACGGTGCGCGGCCTCTGGGCATCTCGGTGGGTGGGCTGAGCTGCCTCTCCAGGCATCTTTGCTGACCAGGGAGACCGCCCCCTGGGCACCTGGGTGCTCCAGGCCCCCGTGGTGGCCGTGGCTGGGGTCCCTGCACCCCCAGGGCTGGCCTGCGTCCTTGGTGGCACCTGCTCCGCCACTCTGGCCCCTCCCTGGGGGTCCTTCACACCCCCCGGGACGTGTGTGCGTGCCGGGCGGAGAGAGGGCGTCCCTGTAGGTGGGCACTGGGCCCACGGCTGCCTGGACCCCCAGGTCCTGGAGGCGTGGCCTGGGATGGCCCCTCCCTCCCAGGGCTCCTCCCACTTGCCTCCTGACAGCTTTTTCATGGACGTGTGTTGCTCCTGTCACGTGTGTGTGACGTGTGGAGACGTTTGATCTGCTGAGGATGAGGGTCGAAGGAACAGTGTCTGGGGCTCTGTGTAGGCTCTGCTGGACGGGGCTGGCCGCGGCCGCTGCCTGCCGGTTCTGGGAGTGTGGGGAGGCTGCTGGTGGTCCCAGTGGTAAGGCCTCGCTGGGCCGGCCGCCTGGCTGTGGCGCGGTCGTGGTTCCTGTGGTCACCCCCACGTGAAGCCGAGTGTGGAGGGAGCTCGCGCAGCCTCGGGCCCTGTGTCCCAAGGCCAGCGTCCCTTGTCTAGGTGCAAGGGCTGCTGGTCTTCCTGATGCCCATCTGTGTCCAGCGGCGGCCCCCGAGAAGGGACCTGCTGAGTGTCCTGCCGAGTGTGGGCTCCGCGCTGCCCCTGCGTGGCTGTGTGGCCTGGGTTTCCTCGTGTGTACACTGGGACGCGCAGCGTGTTGGTTTCCGGGGGTTGTGTGCTAACGTGGGGGTTCCCAGACGGACGCACACAGGGCTGAGCCTGCCCTCTCCCGCCGTGCCGTGGGCAGCCGCCTGGCCCTCCGCCTGGGGTGCCGTGGGCAGCCGCCTGGGCCTCCGCCTGGGGTGCGTGTCGCCGGGAGCCACGTGCTGCCCTCCCGAGGGCCACCAGGAAGCTCTGACGCCAGTTTGGATTCTCGGTTCTAAGTGCTTCAGACACGAAGTCTGAAGTCTCCCGTGAAAGCCAGTGTTTGCGCGGTTCTGTGCGCGCGGGGCGGCGCGGGCGGGGGCCGTGTGGGTCTCAACTCCTGGGCGTCGGCCCCTGCTGGGTGAGGGCTCCCGCTCCCGGCCAGCGCGGCCCGGCCGCCCGAGCCTGCAGCTGTGTGTGGGGTGACGGTGGCTTCCAGGTGGGGTCCAGGAGGGTGCGCCGGACGCAGGAGCCCTCTCGCAGGGAGCTGACCTTTGCGCTTTCGGGCCGGCTGTCCGGGAGGGGCCTCGTCGGGAACCCGCGCACCCGGCCGCCTCTCTGCAGCCCGGGTCCGAGACCGGCTGCCTGCTCTCTGGGGCTGTGGCCACCTGGACGCCTGAGCCCAGGCCGCGCTTCCCGAGGCCCGTGTTTGCTGCCCGGTGCTGCTCTGGGCTTGCCTGGGTGATTCCTTGCTCCGGGAGCCTCCGATGGCCGCGTGCCAGGCCGGCGGGCTCCGAGCCCCCCGCGGCCTCGGGACGGTGTTTCGGGGAGCCCTGGCGCGGCCGGCGGTCGTTGGGCGCTTCCTCTGCGGCGGCAGACAGGATGTGCAGCAGGAGGAAGTCTGCTGTAGTGTGAAGCGGCCCCGCCCGGGCCGGGCTGTGGTGTCGCCGGCGGGCGGCGGTTCCGGGGCCCGCGCCCTGGCTGTCTGGCAGGAGGTGTCCACGGCGCCGGACTCGGTGGCAGCAGCGTGTCTTTCTAAGGATTGCGAAAGCCGGAGGACTCCTCCAGGGGAGGGATTGTGCAAGCCTCAACCGAAATGTTTTCAAAAAGTTGCTTTGTTTTGAGTCAAAACACAGAGGCCGGTCATTTCCTTGAGATCTGGGAGAACCGAAAGGAGGAAGTGCCTCATCCTTCGGGGTCTCCCTCCCGGCCGCCGGGCTGGGCCGGGCCTGGGAGGGCGTCGTGGGGGCGAGTGGGGGCTGGGCGGGGGGCGGGGTGTGTGTGGGGGCAAGTGTGGGTGGGGGCCGAGCGTAGGGCGGGGGCTGAGCGTGGGCGGGGCCGAGTGGGGCCGGTGGGTGGGCTGCCCTTCCTTGCGGTGTCTTTGCGGTCTGGCGTGGGTTTCAGTCTGCTCCCGGGGGCCGGCCTGTAGGGGCCCAGCGAAGGTCTTCCCCTGCCCTCCCCGCCGGCCCCCTGGACACTGGTCACTCTAAGGGCAGGTGCTCCCGTGTCAGGGCCACGTCAGGACTCCCCAGGAAGCACCTAGCTCGTCCCGGGGGCGCCGCGGCGGGTGTCAGCTCTCAGGATGCTGGAGGGGGGTTGCGCCTGCGTCCTCTCGGTGGACGGCACTGAGAGCGCCCTGCGTGCCCGCACGCCCGCGTCTGCTCTCGGAGGTGGCGTGGATTTTGAGTGAGGTCGCGGGGGATGATGGTGAACCCTGGAAGGTGACTGGCCCCGCGTGCTGCCGGGGCTCAGCGTGGGCCTGAGCAGCCGGATTCCGGCTCGACGCTTGGTGTTCGCGTCTTCTCTGTTTGCTTCGTGGATTCACAGCTGCAGGCCACACCTGGGGAGGCCCGGTGTGGCGTGCGGGGGTGGACGCAGGGCGGGCAGCTGAGACCCGCTAGGCCGTGTGGTGGCGGGCGCTGTAGGGCACGGTCACGGTTGGGTCCCCAGTTCCGGGCCGCGATGAGGGGCTCTTCCGGGCTTTTCCTTGGTGCCCGAGTTCCTGTTAGACTTTGAACAAAGTGGGTCTCAGAATGGCCCGGGGAGGCTTCCCGGAAGGCACTGGAGTGCTCCGCTTGGCTGGCGAGCGCGGCCTGGTGTTCCTCCCGGCCCGCGGCCAGCGCTCTGGCGACTGGCAGGGAACCCGGCTTCCTGCTGGGCCCACTGGGCCGCCTCTTCCAGAGCGTTGTGGCGCCCGGCCGGCATTCAGGCAGGCCCGGAGGGTCAGGACCCCGGGGGCGGCGCAGCTGAGCTGAGGCCCGGGCGCTGCCTGGGCTCTGGTGCGGCCCTTCTTGCTCCTGAGTCACCCGCGCCGACAGCGATGCCATCCCAGCTCTGCGGGGCCGCCGGGTGCTCCGTGCCTGTCCACGCTCCCTGCCCCCGAGCCACTCGGGGCTCCTCCCTCGGCGTCCTCAGGGCCAGCTGTTGGGGTCCACCGTGTGGGCTGCCCGGGGGCCGCCTGACACCGGCTGACTTCCAGGCTTGGGGGGAACTTAGCAGCAGAGTTCGGGCCCCCCACCCTGTAACATTGTTTCCTCCCACGCAGGAGCGTGTCTCGCCCGGGCTGGGGGAGGCCGAGGGCGGCGGCAGCTTCCGGCCCCTTCCTGCCCCTTCCGTGGACTGTGCCCTGGGTGACTGGGGACAGCGCTGCTTGTGCTGTGGCGTGTGGGTCCCCCCCGCCTGTGAGCGGGGT